CTAGATTTTATATTTCACCCTGATATGTGCTTCCAATCCAGTATTCACTCCATCCAAGAGACTGCCTATTTCCATCTCTGTAACTTTGGCTATGTCTGTTCCTGCCTCAGCTCATTAGCTGCTAACACCCTCACTCATGGCTTTCTTACCTCAGGACTTAATTTTTTGATTCACTTGTTGGATATGGTCGCCACTGGCTGGCCAGTTTCTATTGCCTGTCCCTAGTTGCCCTTGAGAAGGTGTTGGTGAGCTGCCTTCTTGAACCGTTGTAGGTTGACTCAGAATGCCATTAGGGAGGAAATTCCAGGATTCCGACCCAGCAACAATGAAGGAATGGCAATATGTTTGCAAGTCAGGATGGTGAGTGGCTTGGAGGGGAAATTGCAGGTGGTGGTGTTCCCATGTATCTGCGGCCCTATCCTTCAAGGTGGAAGTGGCTGTGGGCTTGGAAGGTACTGTCTAAGGAACTTTGGTGAATTTATGCAGTGCATCTTGTAGATAGTACATACTGCTGCTACTGAGCATTGATGGTGAAGGGAGTGGTATGTGGATGTGGTGCCAATCAAGCGGGCTGCTTAATCTTGGATGGTGTCAAGCTTCTTGAATGTTGTTAGAGCTGTACCCATCCAGGCAAGTGGGGAGTAATCCATCACACTCCTGACTTGGGCCTTGTAGATGATGGACCGGCTTTTGGGAATCAGGATGTGAGCTAATCATTGCAGTATTCCTAACATCTGACGTGCACTTGCAGCCACTTTATTTATGTGGTGAGTCCAGTTGAGTTTCTGAACAATGGTAACCAATATATTCCAATACCCTCCTAGCTGATCTACCACCTATCACCATTCTTAAACTTGAACTCACATTGAATCACATTCACCTATCACCCCATTCCTTCTGATGTGCATTGCCTCCCAATTACACAATGCCTTGATTTGAAAATTCTTGACATTGTCTTCTGATCTGTCCATTGGCCCACTCCTCACTAACTCCTTAATCGCTGACAACCCCTCACCATCTGAAGTGCTGCCTTCACCTGCTGAGCCCAAACTTGGGAATTCCCTCCTTGATCCTATCTGACTCTTTACCTCACCTTCCCTCTTTAAGACCTACCACTTTGACCAAGCTTTTCGGTCATTTGACATTATATCCCCTTGTATGGTTCAGTTTCATACTTTGGTGACACTGTTGTGAAACGCATTGTGATGTTTTGAGGTTATAGCGGCAATGTAAACACAAGTTGTTGTTATTTATATAACTATAAACCCATAAATAAAAATCACATGCTGTCCCAATTTGCTCTTTAAGTTTATTTAATGAATGGCTAAGAAAAGAAAACCAGGAAAGTTTAATTCCCAACTCGTCTGATTTGGCTTATAGCCACTGAAGGTTCGAGTAAAGCCTACTCCTGAGTTAGGTCAGTGAAATTCAATTAGCTTTGTTATTCCTGATTATTATCTGCTGGATCTCAAATAAATATGAACATTGGATCCTACCACCCTTACACTGCCTTCTGGTTAAACTTAGGTGTTGCCCTCATTATTACTGCTTGCTTCGACACAAAAATTTGTGACTGTTGGGCCATTTTCCCCTTAGAATAGAACGCTGTCAGTGTGAAGGAAGTGAGGAAATTTAAAAAAATGCCAACAAAGCAATATTATCTGTTCTGATTAAAGGTCGTTGCAATGAGACATCAACTCTGCTTCTCTCTTCACAGATATTAGGTTTTATCAAAATCCCGTGCACAATGGAAACTAGAGAGATTCTTAGTCACTTGTTATTGTTGGATACTGGAATATGTATCCAGTTTTCATTCATTAGCGAAAGATCACAGAAGAAAATATGAAGGACTGTGGGGAGGTCCAAGGCTCTGTGGAAGCAGCTTTTTTTAATCGACTCACTGTGTACTGCATTCTCCAGCTACTATTTTTCTCAGACATTGACTTCTGTGGCTTAATCTTTTATTCCCTCTTTCATTCTACAGCCATCGGAATACGTTACAGAGCATTGTCGTTAGTTGCTGTTACAGATATGAATCTCCTGGTGTAAAATTCACTGCAGGATTTGTGTAAGACTGAAGAGATGGGGCAAATGGCCAGTTGAGCATTCTTTCGGGATGTAAATTCACCACAGACCCACAGGACTGCTCCCTCATTTGAGAGAAGCGACTGGCGGTGGTTTAACCTGAGGGTCACCAGGCCTTAGTCAAGGGGTGAGGTTGAAAAGGTGGGAACACCATGGTGACCTCAGCTGTTATAGGAGTTGAACCTACACTGTTAGTGTCACTCTGCATCACAATCTAGCCAACCGAGCTGATGGACGCTGATGTTGCCAGTGTTACGGCAGATGATGAGGGGAAATGCCTGTGTAAACGGCACGCCCTTGTATAAATGGCACCATCTGACTCCCTCATTGCACTCCAACTCTCCAATGCATGCAGTTCCACATGTATAAATGTGAGTCATTATTCTATGTGTATGCTAGCTGAGTCTGTACTTAGAGCCTGGAAGCAAATTTTGTAATGTTCTCATCCTGATACTAAGTACAGTATAATGCGAAAGCATAGCAGTAAGGCAAGAGCAATGAATCCTTGTTGATTTTGATCTTGATGATCTGTTATTAACAAAAATACTGATCTCCAAACCTAAATTACCAAGATGTGCGAAGGGTGCTATGCTGGGACGCAGCGCCTACCTGTAAAATCAACCTCAATATTAAGGACAGACTTACCCATCATGGAGGCCACATTTCAATTTTTCTCTCTTGAGCATGACAATGAGCAAAGTTTGGAAAGTTAAAGTTCAAACAATAGTAAAGACGATTTTCAGAATGCAAACAATTCCAAAGCAATAGCTTAAACAAATTAGTAATTAATAGAAATTACAATACCAAGTGCCGGGCAGCAGAACTAACTGATAAAACTTTCTCTTGCCTTCTAAGATAAAGACAGAGCCAGGCAGGGAAAAGGACAAGGCTCCAAGCCCTATTCAGCAGTGAAGGTGCTGGGATCCAGGACTGTGCTCAGGAATTGGTTTAATTTAACACTGACCTTGCATTCTCTACTGGTGGTCCACATTCTGAGCTGGCTGCAGTGAATTCACACATGAAGACAGGGGATCTGAAGTGAGTTGAACTTCAGTCTGGGATTTAGGAGGAATACCTAGAGCGTCCATCAGGTGTGTTGATCTCACGCTCACTCTCAGAGTTCACAAACTCTCTCCTGCAGACATCCAACCCGCTCACTCTCCCTCCCTCATTCTCACGCACTCCCTCACTCACACTCCCTTTCTATCTCACTCACACTCTACCTCACTCACACAGGCACAATCTCTCTCCCTCACACGTTCTTCCTCTCTCACTGACACTATACTCTTGCACCCAGAGCTCCTTACCCTGCCATCTTGACTGCGTCCTTTGGGGAAGGTGGGTGGGGCTAGATAGGCCACCCTTGACAGGCCACATTGTGGCCCATGGGCTGCCTGTTGGACAAGCCCGACTTAGAATAACTGATGCTTCTAAAGCCTATACTCCACCTTACTTCCTTCATCTGATCAACAAATGTCGCCACTTAGGCATTAGCCCTCACTCTCATTGGGTTAGCATTGGAGTTCAAATCCCATCATGGGTAATTCTGAAATCTAAATGTAATGGATTAAATGAATTAGAATAAAAGGCTAGGATCATGAATGATGGCCATGTAACTGTTGGATTGTTCATTTGGATGGTTTACCAGGCTGATTCCGGGGATGGCGGGACTGACGTATGAGGAGAGATTGACTGGGTTGGGATTGTTTTCACTGGAGTTCAGATGATTGGGGGGATATCTCATAGAGACTTATACAATTCTAACAGGACTGGACAGGGTATGTGCAGAGAGGATGTTCCCGATGGTGGGTGTGTCCAGAACCAGGGGTCACAGTCTGAGGATTCGGGGTAAACCATTTAGGACAGAGATGACATTTCTTCACCAAAAAGTGGTGAGCCTGTGGAATTCATTACCACAGGAAGTAGTTGATGCCAAAACATTGAATGTATTCAAGAGGCGATTAAATATAGCTCTTGGGGTGAATGGGATCTAAGTTTATGGAGAGAAAGCAGGATGAGGCTATTGAATTGGACAATCAGATATGATCGTGAAGAATGGAGGAGCAGGCTCGAAGGGCCGAATGGCCTCCTCCTATCTTCTATGTTTCTATGTTTCGTTAATGACATTTAGGCGAGAAAATCTGCTGTTGCTGACCAATCCAGCCCAAATGTGACTCCAGTCCCACAGCAATGCGGTTGACTCTTAACTGCCCTCTGAAATAGTCTAGCTGTTGTATTCAAAAAAGTGATTCATCAACACCTTTTCAGAATGGTCTATGGATGGGCAATCAATGTGACACCCACATCCTACAACTGACTACATAAGCTTTGCTCTCAGTTATGTTGCATACAGGGATGTTGTTAATTTGGACCAGGTATTCAGACACAGGTTGTTGGGGTGAGGGATGGTGGGGAGCAAAGGAATGAGAGGGAGAGTCATTCCTGAGCAACTCCTGTGAGAGTTGGTTCATGATCACATTGCAATGATGGCCTCTTGGTTCTGGGAAAGTAAGACTCAGGACCACAAACAAGATCAAAGAAACAGCTTAGCCTTGACATTTTGTGATACCTAAACAAGCCAGCCATCAAATCAACCAATTTGTATAGTGATGGGGGCCAGGGTTTGGTCAGGGTGGGTGCAGCACTGTGGATGAATATAGCTCACAAGATGAAGTGAATTGTTCTGATGGGAGTTGATGCAGACTATGATGGGCTGAGTGTCCCCCTTCTGCCTCATCGACTCCGTGTTTGTGTGAAATAGTCTCCACATGGAGGCTGTTTGTTGTGAGAACAAAAACCATTTTGCAAGCTAAGACCTGACACCAGTATTGGAAGGGCACCTGCTGGAATCTGAAGCACGGAGAGTGGAAAGGGACTTTTTCTGCTCTAAATAGCTCAGAACGAACTGTACTTACACCAATGAAGTTGGAGAGCTCGTTGTTAATGAGCTCTTTCAGTTCCACCTTCTTCAGCTTCAGCTTATCTCCTTCTCTTCCACTGTATTTGTGAAAGGTTTCAATAATAGTGACCATTGCGTTCTCCAGGTCAGACATTCTGTTGGAATAACCCTGCACGAGAGGGAAGAGAGGGCAAAAGGTTACATCCTGGTGCAGCTTGATTTAAAAATTCTCATCCATGTTTTCAAATCCCTCCATGGCCTCACTACTGCACCCCATCCCCACTCCAAATCTCTGTAACCTCCTCTAGCCCCACATCCCTGCGAGATACATATATTCCTCTAATCTTGGCCTCTAGATCATCTCTGACTTGAATCATTCCACCACTAGTGGCCATACTTTCAGCTGCCTGAGGCCTAGGCCCTGAAAATTCTTCCCTAAATCTTGCCACCTCTCTGTTTCTCTCCTTTTAAGACACTCATTAAACCATATCTCCTTGAACAAGATTTTGAACAACTCCTTATGTAGTTCAGTGTCAAACACTCCTGAGACCCCCTTGGTTTTACGATATTGAAGGTATTATGTAAATGCAAGTTGACGCTGTAATGAAAAGCAATAACAATATTGCATTATACTCAACAGAGGGCTCCCAATATTTTAGAAAATCATCTGAAAATACCAAGAGAGGTCTCTAGTCCTTTTTCTGCTGAAGGATGAAGTATTTTTCTAAAATTGTACTTTGAGTGAGGATGAATTCAATGGTCTCAACTATGCCTAGGTGTAAAAGAACATCAGAAGTTCCATCTCGATCCAGACACTGCTTGGCGATAAACTCACATCTGCACCATCAACGGTAACAGTACCAGTTTAAAATTGTCATCAGCATTAACCGATAACAGAAATATTTTCATAAGCTTGCAGAGGCCACGGGCGCAGTACAAGGATAGCAGTGATAGGGCCACCACCGCCTAACAGCACAGGAAAAACTGCTAGATGTCTTGTTGGATACCGACCCATTCAAAATAGCCATCAGGACAGCTCCAGGTAATGAGGCCACAAGTCCCAGAGAGGTGGGGGATGAAAGAGAGACTTGCAGTTATATAGAACATCTTTCAACCACTGGACACCTTGCAGTATTTTACAGCCAATGAAGCACTTTTGAAGCGCAGTCACCGTTACAATGCAGGAAATGCAGCAGTCATATATGCACACAGTAAGATACTGCAAACAGCAATGTGATAATGACCAGGTAACCTGTCTCATGCTGTTGGTTGAGGGACAAACGACAGAACACCAGGGACACCTTCCCGTCTCTTCTGCGAAACACGGCCACGAGCTCTTTTACATCCACCTGACGGGGCCTGGGATCAATCAGTCCGATCCAAACGGTGCCAACTCTGACACGGCAGCACTCCCTCAGCCCTGACTCTGGAATGTCAATGTGACGTTTCGTGTTCGAAACCCTGGAGCTCGGTCTGCATCTGGAACCTCATGGCTCAGAGGAAAAGGATGGCATTTTTATGTCCTTTCTGAGGGCACATTTGGAGGGCGGAAGTGCATTCAATTAGGCAGGACATGAACTCCAATTCCTTCACGAGGATGATGTGGGCAGACTTCCCACCTCTCTAGCAGTCGGGGCTGTTAAGGGGCCAATGATGACCACTCGAAGGCTTCAACCCATTGACCTAAACAAGTGGCAGGCCCTGTCGATGTTGCAAGAGTTGTGCAAACGGAGCAAGGGTGGTGTTAGAAAACAAAACATTTTCACTCAGTGAGTGGTTAGGATATGAAATACACTTCCTGGAAGTGTGGTGGAGACTATTCAGTTGAGGCACTCAAGAGGATACTGGATGACTATTTGAATAGAAATATTGTGCAAGAACGTGGGGAAAAAGCAAGAGATTGGCACTAGCTTATGACGCTTATTCAGAGAGGTAATGCAAGTATGATAGGCCAAGAGGCCTCCTTCTGCTCTGTACCAATTCTGTAATTTTGTGATTCATTCATGACAGGACAATTTCACTCATGTTCTTCGTTGATTTTGCCCATCACTGCAATATCATCGCCAATACATTCACAACTTGTAACGCTTCCTATAATTCTGTCCATATTCTGCTGGTACAAATCCTGACTGACAGATAGACCAAAACATAAACTCTGGAAGCAGTATCTTACAAGAAAGTGGTGATTCCTTAAGACTGTTTCCTGATTAACTGACCAATTACTTGCTAACAGCTAGGAAATTCCGTGTCATTGGTCAATATCTATACTTAATATGTGACATGAAGAAAAGTTCAACTCTTGCAAATTTGGGATTCAACTCTTTGCATGTTGGAATTTTACGTGGTCATCTGTTTAGAGAAAGTGTCTTGTGTCCACACATACTTTGATTATGCTCTGATTTTCTCTTGCTAGCCTTTGTACAATTGACACATCCCTCCCTCCCTTACTTTGTCAGCTCTGCCACCTACCCACTTCACAGCGACCATCCAAACTCAGTGCATCAATGCCTCCTCTTGCCTGGTCCAACAGATGTCACCAGAGAAAAGAAACAGCTCCTACTCAGTCCAACCACGTGTTTCTTGTTCGCTGTGTACTTAATTCCAAAGGTGCAATATAAGCTGGTGAAGTTGCGTTTTAAAGAGGATACCTGAGATGCTAACAAATAAAAAAGGTGCTCCCGAAGCTTTCCATCAGGAACAACACTCCACCATCAATCTTATGCCAACTTAACACCCAACATTTATCCTGTGTAAAGTCAGTTTCTTTTTAATTTTCTGTATATTTGATTGTGGAGCGAAATGCAAACAGGACTATTTTAAACCCAAGGATTGGGGAAGGAATTGCTACACCTTTTAAAAGTAAGTAACTCTGCACTATGTGCTGCTCACACTGCTGTTTGATCAACCAGTTGGGGTAAGTTCCTGCAGATTTACTGGTACCAAGTGTGTATGTGTAAGGGAGATTCAGCCAGCAACAAATAGCTGATTGGTCTGTGGCCTTCTGCCTGCCAATGTTGATTGATATGTGATTTGCTGATAGCTGCCTGAACAGCTTGTGGTTGTGAATGATACAGCCAGAAGCCTTATGTCCACTGGAAAGGGAAGTACTGTCTTTAAGCTGCAGTCAAACATATCTAAAGACTGTAGAAAGCCCAGTTATTTTTCCTCACCAGCTGTTGTAAGTTGTTCTTTTTACCCAATAAGTCAGAGACATTATAAATTGTGGACCAGCCTCTCTTTGTCTCCTATAAGTACCTGGAGATGAGAGAGTGTAGAGCAGTAAATTCTGGGAAGCCCAAAGAACCATCTCAGTGAACCCTGCTGATAGGGGCAATTGAACTGCCTGCCCAGTTTTTCTCTCCACCCATAATACCGTTTTTATTTTGTCTGTATGTGTTTGTTTTGGGGAGTTCTTTAAGGGGAAGGAGTTTTAACTTGGAGCATTATATGTTGACAGCTCATAGTTGTTTATCTGTAGCTGGAATATATTAGTTTGAAATAAATGATAAGTAACAATGAGACAAATACATGAATAGGAAGGGAATAGAAGGATATGGATCCTGTAAGTGAAGGCAGTTTTAATATGGAAGGGCAAAATGTATCATCGCAGGCTTGGAGGATTGAAGGGTCTGTTCCTGTGCTGTATTGTTCTTTGTTCTTTTGTGAACCTGGTTCAATGAAGACTGGTAAATTGGGGGATATTGTGTACTTTGAAAACATCTTTAACTTTTGCGACTGCTTACAATCATAGCAGGCTTGACTTCCAGTGCACTGCCCCAGTGAGGCATGAGACCTGTCATTGGGAAAGCTGTTCTACAGGTATTTAAAAAGGAAAAGAATAAGTAAAGTGATAGTCCTCTACAGAGTGACAATGGAAAGTTAATTATAGAGAGTAAGGAAATGATAGATGAAATGAACATATGCTTTGCTTCTGTCTTCACTATAGAGAATATAAAAATAAAATTCCAGTAGTTGCTGTAAATCAGAAGTTAGGAGGTAGAGGAACTTTGTGAAACTATGATCGTGGGATAGGTGGTAATTATCAAACTGATGGAGCTGTGGCCTGACATGTCTCACGTCCATGGATTTTATCCTAGGGTCTTAAGAGAGTTGGCTAATGAACTAGTAGCATTGTAGATGCTAATTTTCCGAAACTTCCTTGATTCAGGAAAGATTCTATCAGAAGAAAAAGTAGAAAACATAACCATTCTAAAGGGGAGGGAGGCTGAAAATGGGAAACTTTAGGTTGGTTAACTTGATGTCTGTCATGGGAAAGGTGTTGGGAGTGGTCATTAAAGAGATTATAGCTTCACACTTTGGAAAACTCAAGATAATTGGGAAGAGTCAACATGACTCCATAAAAGGTCAATCATGCTTAAACAATTTATTGGAGTTCTTTGAAGGAGTAACTTGAGCTGTAGATAAAGGGGAACTTGTAGACACACTGCACTTAGATTTCCAGAAAGCATTTGATGAAGTATTACACTAAAGGTTATTGTGGGAAAGCAAAAGCTCATGATGTAGAAGGTAATATGGTAGTATGGACAGAAGATTAGCTGCCCAGCAGAAAACAGAGTGTTTGCATAAATGAGCCTTCTTTGATTGGCAGGATGTGATGAGTATAGTTCTGCAAGGGTCTGCACTGGAAACTTAACATTTTTACAATTTACATCATTGACTTGGATAAGGCAAGTGAAGGCACGGGAAACAAATTCATAGATGACTGAAAGATAAGTAGGAAAGTTGATGTGAAGAAGACATAAGGAAGTTACAAATCAATATAGTTAAGTTGAATGAATGGGCAAAAATCTGACAGATGTAGTATAGTGCAAGAAAATGAAGTTATTCACTTGGCAGGAAGAATGAAAAGGCAAAGTACTACTTGGAATTCTGTAGTTGTTAGACATTATAAGGTGCAGAGGGATTTAGGAGCTGTATGTCCAAAGAGTTAGAACAATACGTACTCAGGAAGGTTAATGGGATACTATCATTTGATACAAGAGGAATTGAACATAAAGGTGAGGATGTTATGTATGCTTCAGCTATAGAGGGGATTGGTAAGACCACATCTCAAGCCCCGTGTACAGTTTTAGTTTTGTTATTTAAAGAAGGATGTAAGTGCATCAGAGATGGTTCAGAGGAAATTCATCAATCTGATACTGGTCATGA